ACTGTTGATATAACTTATAATTTTAAGGTATTATATTGAATTGATTATGCACGGAGCTATTCGTAGCAATGGATAGAGGTGATTGCCCTTAAAATAGGAATTGAATGATAAACGTGAGTGAAATGTGGATAAATGTAAATGAGTGAGAAAGCATGGAATCGTTCCATAAGAGTCCGAACTACGATTTTTTTGCACGCATCTGGGTTTCCTTTCCAAAAAAAAAAAATACGCTACAGGCATTGGCAGGATATCCAGGTTGCGGCGGTGAAACGACATTCATTTTGAGTTCAAGTGGATTTATAAAAAGTTTTCACTCACGAGACGGTAGAATAAAGTCTTTTTTACGACTGTATAAAAACATGAACTTCTAAAATCTTCTAACTTTGATAAATTTTACTTTTTATCTATGAAATCACATCGCATTACAATGTGAAGTACCACTTTTGAAGAATATTTCGTTGCTTTATGATGTTTTGACAAGTTTTAACCAGATATAGTCTTATTGAAGTTTCTTTTACCACATTTTCTTTTTTGCCGGCGATTAAACTCTCATTGGTGAAGATGAGAATCCAAATTTCATTGAGGAGCTAACACATTGTCATTGTAATGAGCTGCGCTCGTCGCCTCGCCGCGCGCCGCGCACAAAGTCAACGTGGTTCCCAAAGTTTTAGAATATACTGAGCAGAGCGTGTCGCCCATGGTTCACTCCTCATGGTTACTCTCTCACTCAAAGCACAGGTGAAACGTGTCCGTAAAAAATGCATTTCGTGTCTTTGAGTAGGCAGAATCCGTTATGTTATAGCGTTCAATGGAAGAAAATTAAAATTTTCCAATGTTTGCTCAAAATTTTGACTATCAATTAGACGAATAGAGACAAAAACATAAAAGTTAAAGTATTTGGTGCTGATTAGTTTTCAGGAGATTCACCAAGCATTCCACCTAATTTTACTACCGTAGAGTTGTCCGAATGCCATTTGGCCAACACCACAGCAACATGTTGGAGCCTAGCCGAATACTAAACCCGTGTTTTATCCTCTCAGACAAGGCTGCCACCAACTACGTGCTCAAGAGGGGTGAAAGGCTTGAACTGTCCAGGTAGAACCGAACGAACCAAAGATCATTTGTCTATGAAGACCGCCTTTCAACACTGTGCCTCGCGAACTCTATCAATGGACTGTAGGTGATAACAATGCTTTTTTACAACTAGTGGAACTCAGAAATTACTATTGTTATAAAATTAGCTGTTCATAGTGGCACACAAACATACCCATCAACTCTCCACACTTTGCTGTCGTTACAGTGGCTAGATTATGATCAGCCCACAGTGATTTTGCTGTATAACTTAGAAGAAAAGACTGCTATTATCGTTATTATTACATCATAGAGTCAAAAACAGAAAAGATTTGACTGATAAAGAAAAAGGCGTGTAGGATGAACGTTTCAATTTTCCTTTCATTGGTGCTATATATTATTTCAATTTCATTTTAGTCATACACATCCGAGTACTTGCGATGAAGCTACTAAAGACAGAATTGTCATCTCCAATAAATCAGTTTCATTCTAGTCGATATATCATCAAAAACATTCATTTCTATATGAAGCCATTCAATTCGTAAGATTCCGTTGACTACTAGTGATAACTTTTCACTTTATCATGTGCAGCAGGCGAACGCAATGTACTGCTCAAAGGTGCCCTGCAATTAAAAAAAATTTTCGTTGCTTCAGCACCACGTCCTGGCTTACAAGGATCCATTTGTCCGAAATATGCAAATTGGTACCAGAATTGTATGGGAGTATAGAAAACGATAACCTGATATATTGGGTTGCCCCATTATCTGGCACTATTGTTTTCCTCAGTTTTTCTTTGTATCTCAATCTGGATCAATGCCAAAAAGCTGTGGTATGCTAGAGAATGTTGTGGTACAATAGTTTGGGTAGACGGATACGGTCGTAATACCGTCGCTCGCTTTCTAAATCAAATCGACCGCGAAAAATGATGTTTCCATGAACACCTCATGCATTAGACGACCACCCTCACAATGCACAGTTCACTTTCTACATTTTGCAGAAACTGGATCAATCCACGTTACCACATCCACGGCATAACCCTGATATTGCAGTATCGACATAGTCTCTTCTGCGCTCTTGGTAGCATTTGCGGGAGGAAGAATTAAAGACTTCAACCAGCTCAAAAGTCACTTCACTGACTTCTTTGAACTTCAGCCTCATTCTTTCTGAGAAGAAGACATACAGTCGTTGCTCAGCAAATGGCTGCACATCGTTGATTATACTGACGATTTTTACTGAATAACTGATTTCTTAAATAATAGTTAAATTGATAAAATTGTCGAAATGCGAAGATAGTGATAGGAAAACCCCAGTATCTAGATAAGGCCTTGCAAGACATTATATTTGTCAAATAAGCAACCGATAGCCTCCCGATGCCGCGAGTTGAGTCGAATTTATGGCACATAGTCCAGTGATTCATCAGCGGAGAAAGCTTTATCCTGTTTCCATAATATTACAAGTGCTCGAAAATACAATTCAACTAGATAAAGCTTCTTAAAACAAAGGCCTAGATTGATGTAGCAAAATGTCATCGGTCAGCTTCCCAGTAGGTGCTTGTTCATCCTCAATTCTCAGCAAAATTTGCAAGACATCAACCACATAATTTTCCAATAGACTGTTTTTAAGGCCTCCCTCAAGAATTCACTAAATTCCAAGAGAATGGTTCTAGCCTTTCAGACATTAGTAGGCCAATGGCTTCCGCTCGCCTCGGCGCTCTCGTTTGCCTCATAAGAGCCACATGCCCTGTGGCTCATCCCACTAGTAGAAGGGATGGTTGCAAATGAGCCAGTCAAGACAATGTAAATTGTCGTCCACAGGCCACTAACTTGATGAAAATGACAAGGTTATTCGAAAAATAATTACAAAACGAGGCTTGTTTGTCAAAATGATTTTGCAGATTGCAATGCAATGCACTTCAACGACTACCCTAAAAAATTTTTCAATTGATCTCAACTATAGCATTATTATTGCTGCAATTTTTGTCATTTCACGTGCTTTACTTACTCCTTTTAGTCCACTGTGGTCTTGTGATGATCCTATACTTCGTCCACTTCTCAGCTCTACGAATAACTTCAATGAGATCAAATGTAGGTGACATTGGAAGGCCCATTAGTACATGTGCATTCTATGGTAACTATTCCCCGAATGGTTACCATTTCTTTAATATAGTGAGTTTCCTGTATTAACCTCTACCTGCGGTTGTTGTCATTTCTATTGAATCTTCCCATACATTCAGTTTAAATTTTCACATGACGTTGAGCTGTAAGCTATTCTTATATGCTATGATATCGATATCAAGTAAACACCGTACAAACTCCTTTGTTTCAGTTCCAGTGAAGTGTCGGCTTTGTAGCCTTTCATGCTCCATATCGACGGTTGTCTATTAATAATCCTTTATGGTCACACTTGTTGCCAGCAATACGGCTTGTTTTCCCTCAGATCGAGTGTTTGCGAAATCGGTCCGTATGTAAGTGAGGGAAGTGTCCAACGAAGGCTAATTCCGCGCTATCGTCATAAACAGTTATGACCTGAGCGTGAGTTTTTCTTCGTAAAAGTCCCGCGTGGCACAATACAGAATCGAGCATTCTACTACGATTTGGCAACTTTCGGTACTAATTACTAACCCGAAACTCCGGAAAGGCAATACATTTGATGCATTGGCCGAGAATCGAACCCGAGTCGCCCTCGTGGCAGTCAAGCATTCGAGCACAAAAAGATGTGTAAGAAATCCTCACTCATGACAGTTAGCGATTATTAGTCTTGGATGCTCTGTTGTCCATGCAGGCACAGCACATCCAGGACCGGTGAGATAGAGCGATTAATTCACCGTTCTGAGCATCAGACTTGAATCACGGCTATGCCAAATGGAGCGACAAACACGGGAAACACAGTTAGCAAACGCGTCACTCAACCCAGATTAGGCTGCGTCTTCGTATATGGAGGGCCCAGGATATATCGTCATCGCAATGGGTGAGGTGATATACATATCCGAAGGGTCTATGCTCAAGGTTGCAATGCTCAGGGTAGATCGGTGTTATCTAAAACTGCCAGTCATGGCTAATAACCAATCAAAATGCATGATTCCACGGAGCCACGTCCTCACGTGACAAGAGCAGATATAAGCTTTAATCTAGTCCTAATGACGAAATATCCACATTTAACTCTAGGATATCAATAGGAAGAAAATTTTACACAGTAGGACCTCTCGACACATGATCCGAGAAAAGACCTTCACATACACGGCACTAAAATCGATCGCTGTGGTAGGAATATAATCACAAACAGAAGTAGAGGCAATGGTCAGTCCACTAATGTACTCAGTGAAGCGGCAGGCAGTGAGGAACACACTACTCAGAGGTGTTATGGGGCATCGGCTTCGAATGAACGACATTAAAGTAGATCAGCTAATCACGGACGAGCACATAATTATTATAATCCCGCGTCCTATAAACAGTGTGGGGAGAACCCATCAAATTAGGAACGATATTAGCTGGAAATTCAAGAATAATCACGTCGCCCGTAATCCTAATTTCGATTTTTGAAGTCGCATACAACTCCTAGATGACATGCGGCCTATGCGGCTCAGCATTCAAAGGCTTGTAGCATATTAAACAGTGGCACAGCGTGCATGATGCATAAAAGAGCATGAATAGGTCAGAGCAACAAGTTGAGCTGCTACTGCACAGAATAACCAGCCATACAAAAGAGACCAGTCCACACCAGCGCCGTATACTACAATTCCACCACTACGACCAAATTCAAATATTAGGAGCAGTTCAAACCATTCCCCCAGTGCAACGTCCTACCACATCTACCTGATTCGAGGCGGGAAACTATAGTAATTAATCAACGACGTGCTATACTAGCATGGACAACAGAGCATACATGACTAATAATCGCTCACCGTCAAGAGGCAGATTTTTCTTCTTTTTTTTTTTGTAAATCAGTGTTAGAATGTTCGCCTGCCACGTGGGCTACCCGGGTTCGATCCCCGGCAACGGATCGTAGATGACAAGTGTGTGCATGAAGAATTGGTAAACAACCGATGGTAAAGACACGAAAGGCTACAAAGCCGACACCTTTATGGAATTGAAATGAAGGAACTTGTATCACGTTTACTTGGAAGCGACATCTACTGCATCTAAGAATATATTACAGCACAACTTCATGTGAAAGTTTGAACTGAATGGGGGGAGGGGGGGAAAGGGGGGTGTTGGCAGAGTGGTTGTGATGCTCGTTGCGGCACACGTGGAACAGAGCTCCACTCCCCAACTCTTTCTGGCAGTCAAGAAGACCGCCTTGGAACGCCAGAGCTAGGCTGTCCTCGCAACTGCAAGGAGACTCGCTTAATCAATATTTTCCGACGTTCAAGAGGAGATGAAACAACGAACTGATTGCGAGAAGCAGTGAAAAAAACACTGAATACGAGGGACATGTACTGATGAGCCTTCCAATGCCATCTGCACGTAGTCTCATTGAAGTTATTCGTAGATGTGAGAGCTGTACAAGGTACAGGATCATCTCAAGAGTAAAGTGAATTAAAAGGAGTAAGTAAAGCAAGTGAAATAACAAAATATTGCAGCAATGAACGATGTTCATGGGCGACATAGGTTGAAAAATTTTCGAGGATATCGTTGAAGGGGCATTGCACTGCAATCTGCAAAATCGTTTTTGACAAATAAGCCTTATTTTGTAGTTGTTATAACATAACCCTTCTTTTTTTCGTGAGTTACTGGCCTATGGCTTCCTAGGAACTGCTTGAGCATAGCCAGGGTGCATTCTTCTCTGCCTTTTCTCACTCTCAATTTTCTCACAGTCTCACGTAATGACGATGTCTCGTTCCGTGAGAAAACAGGTACAGACAACATGACATCCCTGCACAGACACTCAGATGTCGCCCCCTGCTAATGCCGCGTAAGCAACGGTGCAAAGCCGCCTGCCTATCAACGCTGGTCCTCAAACGGTTAGCTGGATAGCTAACTCGGCAGTTCCTCTGAAAGGCTTTTGTCCTGGTTTCGTATGGCTTTTTTCTTGATATGACAGACTACATAAAGTTTATGGAGCATATATTGTTCTTCACCGCTAGAGGATCAGTCTTTGAGAAGGTGGACATTTACAAGTATAAACGTAAAGGTTTCGTTGTTCCCTAATACGTTCTCTTCAGCGAATTCAGTTCTCTCAGGAACTTCGGAGGTCTCTTGCAGTTCGACTGGTAGGTAAGCCAAGAATTCTCTTTTTTTTCAAGAAAACGAAATAGGCTTCTGCCTCTACTGTTGCATCCTTTGAGAAACTGTGTAGTCTCAAGAGATTTTATAGATGAGACATTAATTATTGTACAAGAGCGCTCATCCACAAAAAGGCAGTTTTCACAGTGCAGTTCATCGTCGCCAAAACGTCTTTATCGGGAACGCACCGCCTGCCCACTTGTGACGTTTCGGCCACGTTGATTTCTACCAGTTACTAGTGCCCCACTGTCGAGCAGGTGCAAGACCTATTTCCTTCCCTGCGCTTGTGTCTTTTTATTCAAGAACATTAAGGATAAAAAGATATGGTTCCAAGGATTAATTAATCGCTGAGGTGTATGTCATGTAATCAAATGTATCAAGATTGTTGGAAATAAATTAAATCAAATCTCGCTCAAACATTGCAATGGCCTGCCGATGAACTGATTCAGTGCTGTTATTCAGTTCTCTTTGAAAAGTCTTGTAGCAACTTACCGACCCTGAGGAGATTGAAGGCTCGGTGTCTAAGGAACGACATCGATTTAGGTACCATATGCGTATTGCTGTGTATTTCTAATCACTGTAATCCACTCGCTACCCCAGGAACATACCTCAAAATAGTGCGAAGCACAATTTACTAGACCACTTTGATTGACGCGCAACAAAGCACTTTTCTTTTAATCTGCTGATCCCACTGCTTCTCAACATTTGATTTGCCTCCTTACACTCATTGCCTGATTGAGCATTTTTCTTCTTCATGAATGTCTCAAAACACTGGTTGAGCACATTTCCTTGCAATCTCGATAATAGTCTGGCTGTGGCGTCCCATAAGCCCTTCGTTGTTGACTACCGGAGAGTGTTGTGGGGTGAGGATCAGCCTCGCGTCGCGACGAGCATCACAACCACTCGACCACCCCCTCCCATATATATATATATATATATATATATATATACATATATATACATATATATATACATATATATTCATATATCTGTTTATGAGCGCATGCGGCGCAGGAGTTAGTGGTGCTTTGCGTCGCACACGAAGTCAATGGATCGATCTCACGCTCATGGCTCACCAAGCCATCCATCCCTCCGGGGTCAGTAGAATTGGTACTAGAATGGTCTCAGACTTGTGTGGAAGGATAAGCAGCACTGACTCGGTTCAGCGGGAGGCCTTCGCGAGCCATTGTAAAGGCCACATATGCATTCATTCACCCCAAGCGAAATTAAAAATTGTAGAGGGGGAATGCATGGCGCGTCCCTCAGGGATTGATTAACACCGATAGCTTTATCCTTTATCCCTTACATATCCCTTTGCGAACCATAAGGGTCATTATGACCTCCAGTCCAGCACGCCGCTCGGCAGTTACGAAGATTGGTGCACGCTCAGTAATAATTCGGGTTAATTAAGTTTCCAAAAGAGCATTATCATCAAAAACGATGAAATATGACTGATGAGAACCTCAAAATCATTTGGCCACGGCTCCCCGCTCTAAGTCTATTGAACTTCTGCAGTAAAGACAGAGACGAAATCTTTTAATCTCAAAAGTTTCATTTCTCCAGCAGTATAGAAGGAGTTGAACTCATTCTGTAAGAAAGTTACTTTGATTGTCTCATTTAGTTCGGAATAGCCTAAAATTTCGATATTCATCTACATGGTCCTGCTTTTTTCCATAACTAGGATTGTATTCCTGCAGAAATAAGCCGCAACAATGGCTAAGAAATAAGGAAGAAGGTAAAAGCTTAACCTTTTTGTGTTTTTTTTTTGTTTCAAAACTCAGCCTCAGTAGGCCTGCACCAAGAGTTTCTTACATTTTGTCATGAACATGAGAAGTAGTCATCACGCAATCACCAAAAAGTCTTAGCACAGCTTTTGTTATAGATGCTAAAAAAAACCTACTCAAACGAAAGGTTATAACTCTCTGCTGATACCGTGGCGAGGCGTGGGTGATAAATCCAGAGAATGGGCAGCTAAGGTGTTTTATATCCACAGGAAATGCATCTCAACAAAGTGTTGAGTCCAAATAATCAGTCGATCAATTTTTATCACAGCAACCAGCGCCGCCTCAGAAATTCCCATATGCTTGTTGCTATTCTGATCAAACTTCTTCCCTCACTGTATGCGCTATCACTGCCGAATCTTTTAGTCATCTACAGTGCAGAAACGCTCGTTATGCTCAAGAAATTCTAGTCACAACCCTCTCTTAATATCTCATGGAGTATGGCTGTGTCTTAGGAGTTTTGAAGTTTGGTACTATCCTTTAGCTTAGCGCCATTTCGACCCTTTAGAAAGAGGTTGTTTCGAGCTTATTTTTGACGATTAAACTGCCATTTTATAGCATGATTCAAAAGAATTTGAACGGTATATTCATCTTCAAAAAGGACTTGTCATTTCTCTAAAAGAGCAGAAATAGTATTTTGCTCCTCATTAAAAAATTTCGCGCTGACCAGAGCTTTTCCTTCCAAGTTTCATTAACCAATCAATAGATTAAATCTAAGAATTCCAATGATTTATTTGTTCTATGATGGACTTGGTATCACGCTGTAACAGCCAAAAGAAGATTGGGTTTCGCAAAAAATGGATCATTTCAACCATTCAAAAAATGGAACATTCAATTCTTGCAATCTTTGAATGAGGAACAAATTATTATTTTTGCTCCTTCAAGGAAATAACAAGGTCTTCTTAAACGAAAAATTGCTATTCAATTTCTTTTTATTTGAGCTATCGACTGATTATATTGTCATTGGAATCGATCGAAAAATACGTTTTTCCAACGAAACGAAGTGAAGAAAGGATAGTTGAAGTCATCCATTTTTTGCGAAACCCAGTCTTCTACTGGCTGTTACAGCATAACATCAAATCCCTGACAAAGATCAAATAAATTGTTGCAATCCTTAAGATTTGATCCATTGACGGGTTGGTAAAACTCCAGAGGATATGTTTTGGTAGCGAGATATTTTCAATGAGGAATAAATTTTATTCTGCTCTTTCAGCGCAACAAGAAGGCTTTTTTGGAGATGAGATGTACCGCCCACATTCTTTTGATTTGTGCTATTGAACGATTATTTAAACATTGAAAAATACTAAGAAATACGTTTTTTACAAGGGGTCGAAGTGGCGCTCAGCTACGAAAAAGTACTTGAGGTTTTACTCCTGTTCCTTTAGGTCCCTTCCCATCCAGTGATTCACTTTTGCCCAGTATCTAGGACTCTCTCCCATTGATAAACATGGTATTGCTCAAATGAAACATTAGTAGAATTCATTGCCGGAGAGATCAATTAATGTGCGAAACCACATAGAAGTCTTTTTAAACGACAATACTAAAGGTGATATCATAGCTACTATGACTACTTACTTTCGTCAGATCGTAGAAAGCAGGTGCAGCTTTCGTTTACGCTTGAAGATTACAGAGTGCTCTCATCTCTAATTTTCTTACTACTTCCATTTCTTTTGCAATTTCGGAATACGAATTTAGAAAAACATTGGGACTGAATGAAGCTTCAATCACCTGTATCTTTACCTTATCATCGTAACAATCGAAAAAGTCAACATCTTACGGAATCATTCGTTCATAATCGTAAACTTTACACTATGCGTCGAAAATATCGTCAGTTCAGACAGAATAACAGTTCTTTCTTTATCTCCAACGACGTATAAATGGAAATGATGCCTTGATTAGGTTTATATGAGCGACACAGGTAGTTAAACCTCACGTTGGAACCGCATATATAGTGCAGTTTACATGAACGTCGGTTTGACAATATCTGAATTAGTTTG